ATTGTTGCATTGTTTTAAACCAAAAAAAAAATGCCTAGGGGCTTTTTAATTCGTTTGAATTCATGCGCATAGACGCGCATAGACTGTTTTTTTTTCAGACGTTTGAACACATGGTTGGTTGAAGGATCGAGGGGGTTCATGTGCCCTCCACTATAAGGAAGCAGGGGATGCTCAAAAAATAGAAAAACGATATTTGGAAATCTCGTAAAATATTTTATTTACGTACTGAACATTCCAACTAGAAAAGTTCCTAATTGAGGATGGGATTTCGCAAAATCGTGCCCCTGCAAGTATAGAACCATTTTTCACTGCTGAAAGTGGACAAAACGTTCACTATATCCCCACAAAATAATTACATTTGCAAAACTCTTGTTGTAAAGTAACCTAACAGAAGTCGGGCTAATGTTTTTTTTTCTAATGCCAACCTCTACTTGGAGCATCAATAGTTGAGTTTTAAAATAAACTATCAGTCCCACGTTCAGATTTTTTTTGGCAGCAATACCGAATGCAAACGGTTCAATTCGTTGAGGTAAAGTCGTTGTTGATAAAATTTATTCGATTTTGAAACAAAAATAAGCGACAATACTTTTTTAATCAAAATGGAATCCAATAAAAGTGTCAATTTCAATATGGAAGTCCGATCATTGTAATGAAGAAAAAAAAATATTTCAATAGAAACGGGCTTGGCCCAATTCAAAACAATTTATTTTCACTTACACAAATATTCCTTTTATTCGCACATCTAAAAAAAATTGGTTCAATGTGTATTAGCTATACGCTCTATAGAACGCATTTCTTTCGAGTTAAATGCCCCTTAATAATTGCATAATTTAGTGAAAATAATTAACACAACTATTTATTTATTAAAAATAATTTTATTTATTAAATCATAATTTGTAACGAACAATTATGAAATGTAAAAAAAAATACGAAAATAAAAGAAGAAAATGTATGAACTGTTTGTCGAAACGAGGTCAGCTCGAATGTTTTTTTTCTTTGTTTTTGCTTGGATATTTCTTGGAACATTAGGATTTAAATTAATCAAAATTGAAACGCCGCATTCCATCAAATCTGTAACCATAAGCTGCGCTATTTTTCGATTCGATCAAGGCTGGATGTCGATATTTGAAGAAACTTCCATGCGAATGTGGTGCTCGTGACGCGCCATTCGGAATGCCGTACATTTCACGTGGATAAAATGCCTCGAACGTACCATCTTTTGGTACAACTTTTTCTAAAATTTTGTCATCTGGATCGTAAGGTTGTCCATCAATTGAAACCCACTGTACAGACAAACTCACAATAAATACGAACAGAAGACAGTTTTTGTTGCACATCATTTTGATAATTTTTGCTTTTCTTTCTACAATTTCCTTTATCATCAAATACACAGTGAAACAGAACCAAAACAATGCCAATGCAAACATAAACAGCTCGGTTCAAACAACAACACACCACACACTAACAGCATCGTCTTGATCTCAACTTCTCTTAATAGTCGCATATATATGCATATGCCACTCAGACACTATTTTCTCAAATAAGTTCGTCAACATTGTCATGTGTGACGCAAGATGGGCTTTTGTGAATGGTTTTCATTAGCGTTCGTTCGATCTCTGTATGAATAGTTCTCTGTTCGTTGTTGCGTTTCCATCCGCTGTGCGATACCAACTGAATCAGTCAAAACGATTTGTAGATTTTTATCCGTATAACAATTCAAATGGACGAATACGAAACTTTATTCAGGGCAGCGATAGACTGCATTTGCAATGTATATTCACATTTTGAGGCCCGCGAGAAAATACTGTCGATAGTGTATGACTTTTAATGAATGTGGCTTTAGCTGAATTATTTCAAAATTTTATGTCTCGATGCGAAACGTTTATTTGTTGGTATGGTGCATTAAGTTTGACGTAACAGGCTTTTACTAATAGCATCACTATTATCCAAGAGGCAAAACACTTGAAAGTCAAAAGAGTAATATAGGGAAAATCAGTAATATCGGGTATTATTGGGTCTGGGAATTAATCGTGTCGATTTTTCAAAAGATGGC